AATATATGAGTTTAAAATTTGCTAGGAAAAACAAATAAATAGGGGGGATTAATAAATTTTAAAAAATATAAAGAGTATTGTTAAATTTCTTTAACAAATTTGTTTGTGCATGATTTCAATTGTCGTAGAATTCTTCATTGTATTAGTTATCATAGTGTCTCGCAATCATCTTCATCAATCATTATAACAAAACATTTTATTACAATAGAGTAGCAAAATAAAAAATTGCACAAAAATCTACTAAAGTCCATAATTTTTTTATCCAAAATAAAAACTTTGAACGCTGTAGCTACAATTTAACCCTTTCCACTCGGATGCCGTCGCTCCGGCGGCGAAATTCATATAAGGGGGTCTTCCTATGTGACGGCCTGTTTTGTAGGGATATTTTAAGATTTTTTTTCTACGACCAGTAAATATTTAGAGCTTCAAGTTTTTTATCATTTATTAACACATATTTGGACAGTATAAATATAAAATTTCAGCTAAAAATATTCAGTCAAACAAGAGTTACAGCGCTCTGAACACCTCCGCCTCGAAAAAAAGAGCTCCCACTTCCTCCACGATTCCGGCTGATCGGCTTATCTGAAAAAAAAAAAATAAACGGCGTTTTAATTTGTAGGCTTAGAAGCACGGAATGGACCTATAATTAAATGAATATAAAAAAAATTGGATTTTTGATAGACATTTGAAATAAAAGTTGCAAATTAGGCGTTTTTTTTTGTTTTATCATAAAAAAATCGAAGTTTTGAAAATTTTCGATTGATAATAGATTCATTCCATGCGTTTAAATATATTGAGTGTGCCCTGTAAATTTCAAGTAATTCGGTCCAGCCGTTTCTGAGATACAATGGAGGAAAGTTTGAAAAACACAGTTTTGAGAAAAACGCGTTTGAAGTTTCTAACTGCCAACTCAGCGCTCCGAAGCGCTCTTTCTTTTACCTGCTGTATCTTTAAAACGACTTCGAATTTTCTAAAATCGCTTTACTACCGTATTCTAGACATGTTAAGGGACCAATTTATGGTAAAAAAAAAATCGATTTTTTTCAACCCATCACATAGGAAGACCCCCCTAAATCTTGAAATTAGCGAGTGCAAAGGGTTACTACATTGCTGTATCTACTTTTTTATGTATCAATTACAACTAAATGTATAACATTTACAGCCCTAGCTTCAGCCAACTGGACTCCTCGACTTGGAACATCGATATGCAAGAACTCGAGTACAACCCATCGAAGAAAGACTTGACAGATGCCAAGATACATCACTTGCTGGCCGAGGAACTTTGCAAGCCTTATCGAAGAGTAAATAGAAATAATTTATCTATTACCAGCACTCATATTATTTTTTTATTATGATTATGTTAATTTTTTTTACAGCACCGTAGACTCAGTTACTCTCGGCATGCAGTTGATGACAGGGATCTGTCGACTCAAGTCAATTATCGTACTCATATGAATATCAGGAGAATGGTTGGTGAACGTAAACATCACAAGAGATCCAAACGAGTCAATAAGGTAAAGATAGTGAGTTAATTTGAAATTAGGTGTAAGGGGTATTTTACTTCAAAGACGCTCCCCAAAACAAGCTGCAGAAAACTTTCACAATTTAATCAAGAAGATTTGAGATTTGGCTAATTAGCTAAAAGTTTTAACTGTTTATTTAGAAAATAATATTTCTGCTTTCACTAATCAATGCGTATAATCATTAAAAATATATTGTTTCCTTACCAGGATGGTACCAGACAGAATCATGTCAGTTTTCCCGAGTTCCAACAAAATGGATCTGCTAAACAATTTTCGCATGGTAAGTATAAAAAAATATTATTTGAATAACTGATTTGCAAACTATTTTTTAAAATTACAATTTTTTATTATCAGATTACTTAAATGAGGTCCTACATGAACAAGGCGAAGATGAAGACACACTAACCATGGATAAACCCATCGAGTTCTCGACTAAGAAACCAATGGCTGTGATAAACCAAGTGATATGAGTATTATTATGGGAACTACTAATAAGGAGGACTTTGATTGTCCCATCACATTTACTGCTAAATCGCCAAGTATGTGGAAAAATATATAAATTATAAACATTATATTTATATATATATATAATATATTATAATATATATATATATATATTTATATTATATATTATATATATATATATATATATATATATTTGAATAGTCTTGAATTTGATGTTGATATATATGTTTAATTTGAGTTTAATATTCGGGCGTAACATCAATAAAAATAGTATGAGTTTTTTTTTTAAATTTTATGTTTATGTTTTATGTTTATTTCAACAGTGTGGCATTCTGTTGGTATGTAATTGTGATGCAACCCTTAGTTCAATTTTTACACAAATGAAATCTAAGTTCAATTTTGACCGCCTCAGGAATTTGGTATATCAAATTAATTGCTCTAATTGCGAACTCTTTTATATTGGAGAAACTAGCCAAAATCTGAGTAAACGCCTTAATCAACACAAAAATAATTCAAAAAATCCCAAACAATTTAAAACAATGTTAACTGAACATATTAAAAATTTAAATCATAATATCGATTTTTTTAACCCTAAAATTTTACATTTTGAAGAGAATACAATTAAAAGAAGATTCGCTGAGGGGTTGTTTTTACAATTACATAACGACAAAGTCATAAACAAACGCTTTGACAATACGGCCCTGAACGAAACGAACACGTGGTTTCTTAATAGCTTGTCAAAATTCCTTAAAAAATAACAAAATCCCATCGCCTTTTAAATTTTCCAAAAAATATCAACACATGCTAAAAACTGCTTTGAGAAAAATGTGACATTTCTATCCTAAACTCCGAAGAGTAAATACATAGTTTCGACAACTTGTTAAGTTATCATGATTATTAGTGTGTTTTACCATTTGTGATGTTTGTGTTAAAAAATATATATCTTATCAATGTGCACATACTCATACCATGGATTAATAATGGTTTCATATGCTATATTAGGATACAAAATTGTAAGTGTTTTATTACTATTATTATTATTATTGTTTTTCCATGAAATTTCCTTTCATATAATTTATTTAGTTTCAATTTTTATAGTTAACTTGATTACCACTGAATGATGGCTAAGATGCTAGCCGAAACGTATGGATTTTAAATAAATAAATTTTTAAAAAAAACTCATACTATTTTTATTGATGTTACGCCCGAATATTAAACTCAAATTAAACATATATATATATATATATATATATATATATATATATAATGGTGTGTGAATGAATATACATGTGTTAACCAAGCTTGAATGATCAAACTAATGACTAGTCATAGTTATGAGACATGTTTAGCTCAAAAAATTCATATAATATAAAAATAACAATTTTATTAGAAAAACTCCATTGCCCCTTAATTTAGGATGATAAGTTGTGGCTACATAACTTATGAGGACTTGTTGTTGGTCTTAACAAAGTTCCAAACCTTCTTTAAAAAATTGGTTACAATTAAAGTATATTAAAAATTTATTCACTACATATTTTTAATCACTTGTATTGACTTAAAATAAAATTAATTTTCATTTTAATTTTTTTCATCTCTCACTCTCTTTATTCACTATGCTGCCTCTATGAATGTGGCCACAACTAAAAGAATAACAACTCGATGATATACAATTTAATTTTTTTTTAACACTAGATTTTATACTTCTCATTGAGAACTTTTTTGATTTTTCATAAACTTAATCTTGACTTTTTGAAATTTTTCAGCACATTTCTAATTTGCACTAATCGTTTCACACATTTTTTTTACTGATTGGTCGTAGAATATTGTCTGTTTCTAAATTTACTACACGATTTTCAATAAAACACTTAGAAATTTAGAGTTGGAAAATTATTGTTGGCGTAAATATATTTAATATAATAATGTTTAATAAATAGACGAGGAATATTCAATATGTTATCATGTATCAACTTTAAAATTCTCTAAAAAATATTTATAGAGAAATTTTAACAATTTTTAGGAGTCTATTTTCAGATAAAATAATTATGTTACAAAGACGGTCACTTTTGTTGAATAATTGCATGAGTCGGTAGTCGCAAACTGTCAAAAAGCTTTGTCTTTGCTGTTCTATGGAACGTTTTACACAATGTAACTTCTAAAACCTAACCTCAAAATGGCACAAACGTCTGAATATAACTTTACGCGTGTGTCATCAACAAATTGTTGCACTTATGCTAACATTGTTATTTGACTGTTGTGTAATTTGGAGGTTAGGTTTAATGTAAAACGCCTGATCGAAAAGCACAAAATAGCCCTTTGACAGTTTGTGATCACCAACTCATGCGATTATTCAACCAAAGAGACCAGTAACATAACTTTTTAATCCGGAGAATTGCTTTCTTAATATTCGAGACATATTATTATTACTTCAATGGCATCAGGCGACATTAATACTACATGAACGACCTAATTTTAAAGTTCCTCAACTTATCAATTAATATAGATATACCTCTATTGAACAATATATATATGAACAACAATAAATTTCTAACAATTTTTTCTATTAAATTTATGGGACACTTCAGCCGTAACATAGCTTATAAAATAGCGTTGTCATGACAACGCTATATTATGCTTATTCCTTATAGTGAAAATTATGAAAATGTCTCTTTATTTGCCGTGCGATCAAGAGTTTTTTACAAATAAACAAAGCAAGGGAGAATGTTATGATAACAGAATTCTAGATTGTGCAGTTATCATAAGATTCTTCCTTGTTTGTTTATTTTAAAATACGCTTGATCGCACAACAAATAGATAAGACATTTTCACAATTTTCACCTCCAAGAACAAGCATAAGAGAGCTCTGTTGCCATGACAACGTTATTTTATGAGCTCTGTTACGGCAGATTGCCCCATTAATCATACAATATTATTTGAATCGTTTATTAATGCATATTTCTTGTCTTTTTTCTTCCCATTTCCTGTCTGTGCCCACTATGTGCTTGTGTGTCCACCACGGCTGCCAACTGTCTACGGCTACCAACCAAAACACAAAAAACCAACTCAACGAAAAAAAATCATTGATTTAATAATAACTAATTACGTAATTGTTGATTGTGAATGTTGTTGATGTTGCATGGAAATGGAATGGTTATACATATATACATATATATATATATATATATATATATATATATATATATATTTATATGTTTACAATTGTTTGCCTTGTATGTATTTTTTATTATTTACCCAGGTGAACCCACCAAATCTGATACCCTCTTAATCCCTAACTCGAACCCTTTTCTCTCGCCGACGACGGTCACAACGACCAGCAATCATCCTTCCAGAAATTTTACGTTAGCTTTAAGAAATACAACGACAAGTTCGAATAGCATCAGTGGCGGCGGTGGTTCTATTACCAAATTGTCCGCCTCTAGTAGTACGAACGAATTAATTAATCAAATCTCGCGTCTTCCCGGGTTCGATCCCCGAAAAACGAGGCTGGCACGAACTTACGCGACCGCCGCCAAGACGCCCGAAGGCGGCAGCGACGAGAGCGCCCGAAGCGATGTAGGGCTCAAGCCGACGGCGGCCGAAGTATCGTTGCCTTGGAGGAGGAGGGAGCAGAGTAGGCCGTCGATGCAAAGTTTCGGAGAAGGTTGGGGAATATTAGGGGTTCGGTGTTTTTGTAGTGGTTTTTGAGGAGCTTGTGCCAGTATTGTAGAATCTTTGTAGTTGGTTGAACTTTAAAGTAATTTTGTATACCTGAATTTTTATTTATTTTATACGAAACGAAAGTAGTTGTGGATACATTTCGATTAGAGTAAATTCTCGGTTAACACGGTTCCCATACTACGCGGAGCTAAAAATCCGACATCCCTCCAACTACACGGACTTATTACACGGTTTTTGTTAAACGGCCCATAAGTTCCTTGCGCAACCTATGAGTGATTCTAGTAACTTGATATCAAAAGGGAATTATTGTAAGTTTTGTTATCGACTTTCATCTTTTAGACATGCCTGATTATATAATAGCTGTCTAAGAACACGTTTGAACTGACTGCTGCGTCGCGCCAATATTTGGATAAGGTGTCTATGTCATTTCGCACATATTACTCCTACTTCAAGTTGTATTCCTGGGTCTCCATACAGCACGATAAAAATGGTGCGATTTGTACTAACTCTGAGTCTCTCATAGCGCGGTTTCCATACTGCACTACAGTAAACCCTCGCTTTACGCGGCGTACCGTGCAGTATGGAGACCCTGCTTTAAGGGGGTTGTTCTTTTTTTATTTTTCTTTGTTTCGGTTTTAAGATTTTTTGATATTATGAAAGCTAAAAACCTTAGAATTATTTTAAAAAAAATCATCTCAATATCTATTTTTTTGACGAAGTTATAGATATATTTATCTCTATTCTAATTCGCAAAATTTTTTTTAAATAGCTGCCATTTTTTTTCTTCTTGCTTTTTTTCTTTCATTTTGGTAGGGTAACTCGATTCAAACTTCTTCTTCAACGTAGTTTCTTTTTTTTTGTTTCGGGCGATGCGCAACGAATTTATCTGTGGCACCGCAAAAGAGATCGATTTTGCAAGGCCGACTTTTGCGCCCCCTGGTTAAAAAATGACGGCGAAAAAAAAGAAGAAAACTTTGTAATATTCTATGATTTTGTAATTTTTGTTTAAAAGAAACCGCATGTCTCTATGATAAATACATTTCGAGAAAAACAGAAATAAATACCTTGCATTTTTTGTAACGAAAAAACGAACAACCCCCTTAAGGTGAAGAGTGAAACGAAAGTAGTTTACATTTCGAATATATAGTTTTATAACTTGGGGTACTTTTAGGTCATATGAGGCTTCCATTAATCACGTGATCGACTTTTTAATGATTATTGGATCCCCCCTCTTCCTTGGTGATACGTGGTGATATTGAAAATTACCCCCCTCCCCCACCAAACATAACGTGTATTTTTAGTTACGAGAAAAAATTGTATAATTTTCTAT